TCTCAGTCAGACCATTAAGTCTGGTCTTATTAGAATTTGAGTTCTGCATCCCACCTTTCTCCTGCTCCATCAGGGACTCTCTGTTGTGTTCCCTGCCAGGGCAGTCATTGGTGGTAGCTGGGCACCATCTAGTTCTTCTGGTCTCAGGCTGATGAAGTGTATGGTTTATGTGGCCCTTTCTGTCTCTTGGGCTAATACTTTCCTTGTGTCTTTGGTGTTCTTCATTCTCCTTTACTCGAGGTGGTTGGGACCAACTGATGCATCTTAGATGGCTGCTTGCAAGCTTTTAAGACCCCAGACGCCATTCACCAAAGGAGGATGCAGAACATTTTCCTAATAAGCTTTGTTATGCCAACTGACCTAGATGTCCCCTGAAAGCATGGTACCCAGATCCCTACCCCTGCTACTCCGTCCCTCAAAGTGTTTGATTGTATTCAAGAAACTTCTTAGCTTGGTTTAGTCCGGTTGTGCTGACTTCCCCTGTAGTGTGTGCTGTCCTTCCCTTCACCTAAGATAATACTTGTCTGCTATCTAGTAAGTGAATATTCTTAGCATTTTATGAAATACAGATGTGTCTGTTTTTCTACAGGGCAAATGAAATCCAAAAGATAACTGGAATAAAAATAGTTGCAAAGGCTTTCTACAGCAAAACCTTCAAATTATACAAAGTTATTCCTATATCACCATTCACTTCCCTCTTATTTTTATTTCTCCTACTTACATCTAGTAATTGACTTTGCATCAAAAAAGATCTGACTAAAATGTATGCCAATATGTACACTGATACCACATGACTTAAGTATTAGAACAGTTCTGAAGCTGGTATTTTAGCAACTCCAAGTGATGTTTAAAAAACAGAATACTGATTAGGCAGGAATCATATTCCAGTATATTTCTTACTATATACTACTTGTATTCTCTAACCACAAAGGATTATTTGTAATAATGATATTCCTACCACTAATAATACCACCATACGTTTACATAGAGCTTTTCTAGTTTACAAATATATGACTTGCCCAATGTTGCTCACAGAATATGGAACCTAGACCTGATTCTTCTAAGGTTCTAGCTCTTGCCCACTGCACTGTGCTGTTCTTGCTGGAATCATCTTCTTCACAAACTGTGTAGGTAAGCTTTATAAGCATGATGAAGACTTGTGACCAAGAAGATCATGAGCAAAGAGAATGAATGATGATGTACAAGCTGATATAGGCAGGGGTAAGATAATCAGGTAGGAAAAGGATACAAACCAGAGAAGTCTTCAGTAAAATAGGATCTTATTCTTTTGTTAATTATCTTGTTCCTTATCAAAATCAAAGTCAAAGCATTACCATAGAGCAAACTGGGCAGAATGAGAACAGGGAGAAAATACCCATGTATTGTCCTTAAAGAGATAAGATGGAAGAGAAGGGCTAAGTTAGAAGGCAACAGTCAAATACCCATTTCTTTTCATCCCTGCTCTTCTGAGACAACCACCCAAATAGGAGTGGTCTGTACTTTGAAATAAATCCATATAGATATCTCTCAGTGTTCTGTGATTTCTTTTCTCCATCTCTTTTCATGAGGGAAGACCAATCATTAGAAAAAGAAAGCGTGTTTGGTAGAGGGCCAAAGAAAAGAGGTGGACTGACACAATATCCACAACAGTGGACTCAAACATACCAATGATCAAGAAGATGGTACAAGACTGTACAATGTTTCATTGTTATACATAAGGTCACCATGAGTCGGAGCTGAGTCAGAGCTGACTCCACAGCAACTAATAACAATTCTTTCCTAAACAATTAGGAAAATAACAAGCTTTTGATTGTTACTCAATGGAAACAGATACGTAGTTGATGGAAGTATCTCTTCTGGGCTGCCAGGCACTAGTAAGTATGACCACCAATGACCCTTATTATCACTTCATATAAATCACAGAGGACTCTAGTGTAATGGACTGACAATCAACTACTATAATAAACAGCATTATGCCAAAACACAATTTTGGATTTTGTAATCAATCTCCAGATACCCAGGAATACGTTGGAATGGCTGGAATGGCTACCGATCAGGGCTGGAACTTATTCTCTTGGTTGTCAGCCTCCCTGAGGCAGCTGCTAACCAGAAAGAAGTCAAGTGCCCTTTAGAAGTGATGAGACTCTCAAAGACAAGCTGAAACACTGAGGACCTCTGTGCGGTTCTTTGAAGCCCATTTCAGGTAACAGGAAAAATCAAGCACAGGCTTACACCTTTCCTTCTGAATATTAAATCCAGAAGTTCTCCACACTTAGTGAATGAATAATCAAGTATATAAAAACAATACAGAATTATTTTGACTTCCTTTTTATTCAAGGCTGGAAAAGAACATTTTGCTTTTCAATTAGACTTAAGAGTAGAATTACTGATGGCTTCTAAAACAGTTGTGCTGCAGCCTACAGAATAAGCCCTCAGACTTGTTTCTTTTAAGGTGAGGACAGAGGAGGTGGAGAACACACATTTTAGATTGTCAGATAGTCAACCCCCTGTTTTAGTTTTTCTTTCTTGGGCAGATATTTAGAGATCATTTGTTTAGCCTAAGTGGAGAGAGAAGGGGAAGGTATAAAAGTACCTGAGCAGTAAGCAGAATAGCCTTAAGGGATTAAGTGTAAATCATTCATGGGAGTTGGGTATTATTCCTAGTCTTAAATATTTCTTAATTATTTAAGACTAGAATAATTTCAGTGAAATTTTAAATATTTAGTAGACTGTCACACTGTTTAATAACTAGTGAAGTTCAAACAGTTACAACCTTATTAAACCAAAATCTGTAGGTTTAAGTTTCATTTGAATCCATTCTACTCTGGTAACTTTGGAACATGCAAAAATCTCAAAATACTCGACATTTTTCAGACATTTTAAAATAGTTATTCCTGATGATTAAAATTTCTGTCATGTCTAACATAATTTTTTAATATTAGCATTTTACAGGAGTATTAGTTGTCCCCTTAGCTTTTAAGCAAGCCCTGAAAAATATGTAGATATATTTGCCACTGAAGAAAGGTACATTATTTTGGTTTATTCATATCCTCTGAAAGGAGATTCTACTATGTTCTCATTTTAAAAAGACAGTGATCAACTTTGAGTCTGTTAGCATTTTAAATCTTAAAATTCCATTTTTTATAAAAAGCACTTCACAAAACACCTTTGTAAATGGCTATTTTTAAACTACTTCTAAAAAGATATGGGGGCAGAATCATTCTGAAGTTTTGTGATACTTTTTTTGGCTTCATCCTTTATGGTTTGAATTTTTATTTCTTTATAAAACCTAAATTATACACTTATTTAATATAGGAATGGCCTTGTTAATTTTTATATCGATTATTTTTCTGTTAAAAACAGTAGTTAGGGAATCAGTGATACTGCTAAACTAGTATCCCAGACTTGGAAAGATTATAAGGGAGAGTTAACTCCTTGACAACAGTAGGGGAGGGAAATCTGCCAGTTAGATTCTTTTCTTTCTAGCTAGAATTTCATAAAACTATTGAAAACAGGCAGAAGGGAGGCAAATAACAGCAAAGAGCAGACAAGTTTGATGACAACTGGTATAAGAAAAAACAAAAAGCATCATTCCAGTTCTGGCCCATACCAACATTAGAGCAATCACAGTTATCTTCCCCAAAAGCTGTTCTTATGATAGAATTTTCCACAAAACCTGAGGAAAGATCATTTACTAAAATGTTTTTGAAATAATTGCATTGAGTTGCCAGAAAGGGAGAGAACTTTCTAGGACCCAATTATATTTAGAAATAAAAATAGAAATAATTTTCCTCAAATGTACAAACCTTCAATTATCTTATGTAATCTGCTTATGTGACTACGTCAATACAAACAGGTGCAGAGGCATTAATGAGTTTTCTTTTTTCAGTATGTTGTTGTTAGTTGCTGTTGAGTTGCTTGCGACTCATAGGATCCGAAATTCTGTATATTACCATACATAAGGCAGGATAGCATCAGAGTAAGAATTATGGGTTCAGATTAAGACCTGGGTTCAAACCCCGGCTGACATACCAGCTATGTAACGTTAGGCATCTTGCTTATCTGCTCTTTGCTTCATTTTCCTCATCTGTACAATGGGGATAACAATGGTATCAACTTCATGGGTTTTGATTAAATGAGATAATTCAAGAAAAAAAATATAACTAGCTTCAAGTAACTTATCAACAAGTGTTAGCTATTTTTAGTGCTCAAGAAGTAAACCAGCCAAATTAGAAAATATTCCTTAGCCAATAATTTTAAAGTTTCCATCTGGTTTGATTAGCAAGCAAGCAAGATCCTTAATAAAAGAAAGTTACAAAAATCTTGTTAACATTTTGGCAAATAAAGAAGAAATGACAGCTCTCCAAACTTAACTTGGAGCAGAGGCTTTTCAATAAACGATGTCAGGAGAACTTTCTATCCATTTGGAAATAAGTAAATTAGGTCCCTACTTCATACCCTATGCAATAAATAACTGCCAGATAAAATAAGTATTTAAAACATTAAAAAGAATACGAATACTAGCAAAAGATATAAGCAAATGTTTATGTAATCTTGAGAGTGAAAACAACCTTTCTAAACATGACACCAAAAGCAGAAACAAAAAAGAAGACTAATAGATTTGGTAACAAAAATAAAACTTCAGGGTAGCAAAAACTCACCATAAGCAGAACACTGGAAAATATATTTGCAGCATACTGTCTCTTTAATGTAA